AGGAGGAGGAGGGGGAGGAGGAGGAGGAGGAGAAAGAGAAGAGGATGGTGAGGAGCAAGAGGGGCCTGGCTCAAGGAAGCCCTGGCCCTCTTCCTGCCCTGGGCTACATTTGTGAGCAGTATGGGACCTGAGAGTCCCTGGCTACCAGATGGCAGCTCAGGCCTATCCAGCCACAGTCCTAAGCATTCCATAGCCTTCAGCATGTGGCAGGAGCAGGCACTGGTGCAGGCTCCAACCAAGGCAGAACTTCCACTGAAGGAGGTCATGCTCACATCTGCCAGTCACAATAATCTCTTGGACTTCTGAAGCAAGCCAGCCCTCTATTTCTGACCCTCAGAGCTGTCAGGATGGCCAAGACCTAGTCTCATGTGTGACGGTCCTGGGAGCCAGTCAATGTCTGTGCCCCTTCACCTGGCTCTGCTTCCCTCCCTCCCTGTTGCCTCCTGTGTTTAGGGACAGGTCTGAATCTCACTCCTCAGTTTGGGGCTCTGAGGAAAAACAGAGGTGGTGATGTCCACAGCAGCCCACCTGTGACCAGGTAGGGGCCTGAACACATCCTGCCACCACAGGTGCTTCTCAGCTCCTACTGTCTGAGCATCGCTGTTGGACATGTCTAGGATGAATGGCTATCCTGGCTCTTCTTTGCAGAACTCCAAGTCCCTGCCTTCAGTCTACATTTCTACCATGATGGAACTGATGCCCTTTGTGATAGATGGCAAGGTTTTTTTCCTTGCCTCTGATGTCAGACTCAATAAAGAGTACTAAACAGGAAAAAACAAAAAACTGGAAATAATCTTAAAAGTCCAACAGTGCCGGGCTGGAGAGATGGCTCAGCGGTTTATAACACTGGTTGTTCTTGCAGAAGATCCAGGTTTGAATCCCAGCACCCACATGGCAGCTAACAACTGTCCGTAACTCCAGTTCCAGGGGATCTGACACCCTCTTCTGACCTCCACGGGCACTGCACGACATGGGTGCACTTACCTACATGCAGGCAGTACATACATACACATACAATAAAATATTAAATTTTAAAAAAAGTCTTAACAGTGGAAGAATAATACATTTACAAGGTCAGCATCCACAGGACAGAATATTATCTTGCAATTTCAATGTTAAGCATGAAGATTAAGCCATGACAAATAAAAAATGTTAAAATTTTTTAAAAGGCTGGGGATGTGACTCAGTGGTAGAGTGATTGCCTAGCATGCATGAGGTCCTGGGTTTGATGCCCAGCACCACAGACATAAACAAAGAAACAATAAATATAACTATTAAAAAGTAACACAAAAATGGTTATTGGGATGTGGGAATTCTATTTTTATCTCCCACCTCCTCCCCTCCCAGCTCTATCAAAAACATGTTTTAGTCAAGATTTAGCTTAGTGGTAGAATGCTTGCTTAGCATGTACAGGCAATTCCCAGTTGGGCACACATGTGTGTACACCACCCCCCCGACACACACACAGTATACTTTCCTTCCTCAAATTTTTCATTATAAAAATTCTCTTGTGGGGGGTGCTAGAAAGATGGCTCAGCAGTAAAGAGAATTGGCTGTTCTTCCAGAAGACCTGGGTTTGGTTCCCAGAACCAACATGGTGGCTAAAAGGGTCCCTAACTCCAGTTTCAGGGGATCAGGCGCCCTCTTCTTGCCTCACACTTGGACACATGTAGGCAAAACACATACACAAAATTAAAATAATTTAAATAAAAATTTACTTGGGACTGGATAGTTCAGTGGTAAAGCATTTACTTTACTTGCAGTGGTAAAGCATTTACTTTACTTGCATGTTTAAAGCTCTAATTTCAATCCCCAGCTTGCAAAATAATGATGACGTTTTAAAGGTTAGAATGCCCTAACGGGAAGGCCACTACTTAAAACTATCATTTTAAACAATGAAGGTGATGACCTTATAAGGGAACATGGAACTTAACATTTTAGGGAAGGTCACTGTCTGCTCTGACTACTTTTCTTATACAAACAACTAGTGAAAACCCACCTTTTCTTTCCCTCTTTCTAATGCCAAGTCCCAAAAGGAAACCAGCAAAGAAATGCTAATAGAAATTTTTAATTGTTTTTAATTATTTACTTTTATGCGTCTGAGTGCATTTAAGTGCACCACATATATGCAATGCCTGCAGAGGCCAGAAGAGGGCGTTGGATCCCTTGGAACTGGAATAAAAAGCCCTTGTTAGCTGCCATGTGGGTGCTGAGAACCAAATCTGGGTCCTCTCTAAGGCCCCCGTCCCCCTGCCCCCAAGCAGATGTTTTAATTCTGACCAGCCCATAAACATTTTATCCTCAAAAGTTTCTTAGGGGGCTGGAGTGATGGCTCAGCAGTTAAGAACACTGGCTGCTCTTCCCGAAGACCTGGGTTCGATTCTCAGCACCCACATAGTGACAACCATCTGTAACTCCAGTTCCTGAGGAATCCAACGCCCTCTTCTGACCTCTGCAGGCATTGCAAGACATGGGTATACTTACATACATGCACACAATACACATAAAATACTTTTTAAAAAAAGTTTTTTAGAAAAGCCTATACTGACATGAAAAATACTTCTCTGGAGTAGCATTTGTTTTCATGAACTTGCTTTTCTGACTTTAAAAAACCAATTTACTCCTTTTTTAAAAACTCACAACCCCAAGATCATACTCACTACTACTACATGTTAGAAAGCCTCCAATGGACTAAATTTTTTCTAAAAATCTTCTCAGGGTACTTATTCATACAATTGAGAAAGTATTCCCCACCCCCAAATTCTACATGGTAACTGCAATATTATCACCACCACAACCCCTCAACGTGCCTTGCAACCTCCTGGTCTAGAAGACCAACAGGTCCTAAGGATGCCACCTAAGCTTCCCAGAACTCTCCCTCAAGTCTTTCATTTCCATCGTGGAATTTTCAGAGTGCAGTGTTATTTTTTAATTGTTTTTTAAATATTTTTTTTATTATTTTTATTTTATGTGTATGAATATTATGCCTGCATGTAGTTAAGTGCATCCATGTCATGCAAAGCCTGCAGAGGACAGAAGAGGCTGTTGGATCCCCTGGAACTAGAGTGACAGACAGTTGTTAGCTGCCAAGTAGGTGCTGGGATTCGAACCCAGGTCTTCTGCAAGAACATTCAGTGTTCTTAACAGCTAAGCCATCTCTCCAGCCCCCAGAGTGCAGTGTTTTTAAGCTGGGAAATGCCTTACTGACAATGTAACAATTCAGGTGATAAAACCAGCAGAGAGAAAACAGAGTTTTACCCAAAACTTGGGGTTTTATCACCTAAATTCTATTTTTTTTAACAACAGACAATACTTGGTTAGTTTAAATTCTAGATGGAAATTCTTTTAGCAATTAGAAATTTACAAGGATAAAAGCTTGGTGTGGTGGCACACACCTTTAGTCCGAGTACTCCAGAGGCAGAGGCAGGCAGATCTCTGTGAGAATAAGGCCAAGCCTGGTCTACATAGTGAGTTGCAGGCCAGCTGGGGCTACAGGGAGACCCTGTCTAAAAAAGAAAGAAAGAAACTTACAAGAATAGAAACATCAATAATAGCATTCAATGATTTCTTTTTTAAAAAAATCAAGTCTAAAGATGGGTGAATTTAAATTTAATATTTTCATATAAAACCAGCACCACTGGTTTTAAATGTTGAAAAAAACTAAATTACAAAACAAATACATGAAACATGATCACAACTTAAATTCTTTGGATTATTTATCTCCTAAGCCCCCACATTTAATACAAAAGTTTAAAACTTTCCCAACTAAGTATGGTCATATTATTTAAGACTGTACATGTAAAAATGTACTTCAGGAATACTTCGTGAGTTTTCACAGCTGTCAGGAAAAATGGGAGCTGAAGATCCAACACAGTGGCACAGTATAACCAGAGCAAGTACCAACAGAGACCTCATGCCTCCATTTCTCTTCTCTACAAAAATCTCTTGGCATCTGATAGCATCATCAGCCTTTAGATTTTCTAACAAGAAACTTTCACTCTCCTCAAGCAAATGAGTCCTAAGACTTTCTGAAGGACGGACCTCGAGCAGTTGGGTCCCCTTTCTGTAAGGCCAACATCGGTTTTAATGTCTATCGGAACAAGGGAACTGTCACTAGGGTGTTTAGAATGTTCAAAAAACCCCGAAGTTGCACAGCTTTTCTGGTCCGGGCAGAACAGAGAGAAGGCAACAGCAGTAACAGGTGCAGGGCACACATCACTAGTCGTATTTGATTCTCTCTGTTAGGCGCTCCTCCTTGTAATGGGAAATGATCTGAATCAGGATGCAACAGTTGATGAGAAGGAAAAACAAACCAGCCAACCAGATGTACAGAAAGGTGTTCTTCCCTTGGAACTCGAGCATGTAGGCAGACGCCAGCCACGAGGCCTGGCCTAGAAACCAGACTATCAGGAGGACCACGGCTCGTCTCCAGGGCATCCTCAGCAGGGGCATCACAAGAGGCAGGAGGCAGAGGTACCAAAGAAAGTACTGGGAGGTGCAGACTTTGTTAAAAGTCACGAAAATGGACGTGTGGAGGAAACAGCAAAAGACAAGGTCTCTGTAATAGGCGAAAGACACCGCCGAGAGCAGGATGAACTGGGGCAGGAAGGCGGCCATGCCCAGGGTGAAGCTCCACTTGCTCTCGGCCGTCAGGTACAGCATATAGAAGTACGGGGAAAAGTTATGGCGGATGTCCCGCCTAGTCAGGTGATACAGGTAGGTGTGCTCCAAGAACTCCCAGCCGTATTTACAGTAGAAGCAGAAGCTCAGAGCGAAGAAGGTGAGGCCCGCCACGGCCACGAAGAGCAGCACTGCCCAGCTGCACAGCCTCCGCAGGAAGTCGTACAGCCGCGCCTGGAAGGAGTAGCACGACCGGCGCAGCGCCTCGTCACTGTCGCGCTCGGGCCGCAGGTGCAGCGCTATGGGCAGGATGTAGGTCACCGGGTACATCTTCAGGTGCACCGCGAAGCCGTAGAAGACGGCGGCGCAGGCGACCAGCCGCTTCTCGATCAGGTATAGCACGGTCAGCACCAGCGAGGCCACGATGGAGTCGGCGTTGCCGCGGCTCGACACGGCCATCGGCAGCGGGTTCAGCAGCCAGAAGACACAGTAGCCGCAGGCCTGGCGGCGCCCCAGCCCCTTCAGCAGCAGCAGGCGGTAGAGGAGGAAGGCAGTGAGGAGATCGCAGCTGATGAACAGGAACTTCCCGAAGAGCTCGCCCAGGTAGATGTTGGGTGTGAGTAGCCAGCTCAGCAGCGGGGTGTAGCGGTAGGTCGCTCTGATGTACGGGGAGCGGCCCTCGGTGACGAAGCGCGCGGCGTCCGTGAACACGTGGTAGTCAATGTCGGTGTAGCGCACCAGCAGCGTCCGATCTTGGAAGACGCCGTAGAAAACCAGGGCGACTCGGGCCAGGAAGGCCACGCCGAACACGCCCGCGGGGGGCACCCGCAGATTCAGGAACCATTCTCCCCAGTGCTTGGTGTAGCTCATGGTCCGTCGGCGCCGCCCGGCTCCACACGGCAGGCTTTTCTCTAACCGCCCGCCGGCGTCCTCGCCACAGACGGCCGGAGCATCTCCGCTCAGGTAGACCGCCAACAGTAACTACGGAGGAACGAGCACTTCCGGCACCAAGTCCCGCCCCCCACTACTTTGCGTCGCGCGCTTTCTCGGCTGCCTCCCCCGAAGGATGGCCTTTCTCTGGATTGGCTGTCTCGCTTCCGCGCCTTACTACCGCGAAGGGGGATTTCCGGTCCCTCGGTAGCGTCACATCCGCTTGTCTGGAAAACCTAGAGTGGCTTCGGGTTGATGGAGTTGAATGCGGCTTGTTTCTAAGTAACCTGTCCTTCCTCATCTGCGATTCCAGTCTACACAGACGGGCTCTGGACAGCTACGGGCTGCCCGCTCCGTCCCTCAGAACTGGGTTGCAGACCCGAGGGTGTAAAATTAGGAATGGAAGGAAGGAAAATGAACCTAAAATAGTTACACTTTACCCCGGTATTCACGGGGACTAAGCCCGTGGGACGGGCCTGGGCGAGTTGGAACCCAGAGTGTGTATGTTCCGTGCAACATCTGGGGCGACTTGGAGTTATAAATGAATGGCTGTGGAAGTGGGCGGCTTGCCTTTCATCCAGCCATCCTCGATGGAGGGCGTGGGCAGGAAGACACGGTGGCAGTTCCTAGTAACCCATCCCAGCCCTCGGCCCACTGTCTCCTCACGCAGAACGATTTCTGTGGCAGTCCTCTCCGAGGTCTGAGGGTAGGTGAAGGGGGATGGAGCTCCAGAAAGCCATTTACACAGAAGACCCCGCCAAGTGCCTGTCATCCCAGTGCTCCAAAACTCCCCTGCTCATCCTTTATGGTATTTGTCACAGTGCTTAGTTATAACCAGCCGATTATTGTGGTTTCTCTCCTAGTTTTTCCATCAGGATTCTTGAGCTCCTTGAGAACAGTTCTTTTCTGTACCTTTTCTAACACTAGGCGGGACTTATAGCCATTCAAGAAAAGTTCATTGATTTGTGGGCTGGAGAAATGGTTCAGGGGTTAAAAGTGCATACTGCTCTTCCAGAGGACCCTAGTTCAGTTCCCTGCAGCCACGTTGTAGCGTGGCTCACAACTGCCTGTAACTCCAGCTCCAGAGGGATCCCGGCCTGCCTCTGTCTTCTTGGGACACCTGCATTCATGTGCACATACCCACTCATATACATAGTTTCTTAAAATAAACCTTTTTTTAAATTAGTAGAGTTGGATGTTCCCCCCTGCTAGAGCACATCTAGAATGGCATCCCTGGAGTGCTGTCAACTCCATTGGTTTCCTTTTCAAATATCTTTGACTTATGTCAAAATCTGCCCTTTACAAAAACTACTCCACTCAACTTCCATTGATTTGCCAAGAACTCAACCCATTCATTCATTGTTTTCTGTGGTCAGTTACTGCACTTATAGTCTGCATTGTAGAATTTGATACTTTATTTTAGATTGTATTCAGTTTCAATTAGATTGTAGAGTTCTTAAAAATAGAAAGTAATCTTAATTTCTTTGTAATTCTTCATTTTTTATTACAGTCCCAGATATATGGTAATGTGTAGTAAATTCTAAATGGCTTGATTTTACAAATTGAGCCTGCCCCCGATGGAAAGTCTTCTATACTAGCATAGAGGTGACTCCACTCTGTCTAGACATGCACCTCTCATCCTACAGTTCACGTTTATCCTTTGAATGAGCCATATTAATCTTATGTTCGTATTCTGATCTCTCTGTCCTTTAATATGCCTTGGTATAAGTATGTGCCTTAGATCAATAATTCTAGTCATTTTGGCTGTCTATACAGTGGTAACACATTGTCTTTCAAGTAATGACCCAAAATAGTTGTTAAGGACCTATTTGCAGGCTGGGTGCAATAGCACAAGCCTTTAATCCCAGCACTCCAGAGGCAGAGGTAGGAGAATCTCCCTGAGTTTGAGGCCAGCCTGTTCTACTTAGCCTGTTCCAGACCAGCCAGGACTACATTGTGAGACCCTGTCTCAAGAAATAAAACCAACCGAACAAACAAGGACCCATTTGTAATTGCCAGGCACTGTACTAACTGCTTTTATGTGAAGCAGATATTCCTGCCTTCACCAATAAGGCAAATTAGGGTTTATGGAGGGTCAGTAGTCCCAAGTCACATAGCCAACTCATAGTAGAACTGGAACTGAAACCAAGTTTGCCTGACCAGAGTATCTTAATTATGTGATGGACTTGCAAATGAAATAATGTTGATTATGAATTTTAATTTCCTTCTCTGTTTCTTCTTGTTTTTTCCTTTTCTTTCTTTCTTTTTTTTTTTTTTTTGAAACAGGCTCTCCGTGTAACCCAGCTGGCCTGGAATTCACAGAGATCCACTTGCCTCTGCCTCCCAAGTGCTGGATCTACAGGAGTGTGTGACCATGCCAGTCTTCTCTGTTTCTTCTTATTCACCAAATCTTTCTGATATTCTCTCTCACTGTTACTCTTTATATCCCTGAATTATTATTTTCCTATGTGAGTTATAGATAAATGATTTTATATATATATGGGGGGAGAGAGGGGGGATAGTCTCATAAATAGAGAATCTGGGAAATAGATGTCTGAAGACTAAGTAGGGAGTCTTCTGGTTAGGTTGGTTTAGGTATTTTGGCAGAACTGCCTCAGCTAATTATCCCTATATGGCTGGCCTAGTAGATATGGGAGACACTGAATTCAGGCAGATAAGGGAAACAACTAATTAAAAGACACATAGACTGTCACTGAAGTCAAAGGAGTGAGATGTAGAGAGCAGAAAAATCCTTAAACAGAACTACCACTCCTTAATGTCTGACCCTGTGAAATGTTTTCCACAGAGATTGCTTTTTATAGAACATATTCGTTTTGTTTTTCATTAGCATATGCTAATCGATTTGCCCTCGGTTATATGTGTTACCTGCCAGAAACAGAAACAAGTTCTCTGTTCTCACAAGTTTGCTAAGAAGTACAAACTTCTAGGAACTGTATATTTCATACATTTTATACATTTCACATATCTATGACTCACCCATGGTGTTTCCTAAATGTTAATTTATTAATGATGAAAGACCCAATTTTTCCCTTCTCTTCCTCTGTCCAGCTCAGGAACAAGAGTCAGTGACTGTCGCCTGTTGCTTCATGTCAAAGAACTTGGGTCTGAATACAGACAACAAGACCTTCTCAGGCTAGTCCCTGCTAAGAGTGAAAGAGAAATCACTACTTTGAGATTTGGGGAAAGAAATGCCTGCTGATTAAAATGGGCTTTTAGAGCCTGGAGGCAATGTAAGGAAAACCAACCTCAAAGTCTTTCCAATAGTGTGGAAGGCAAATGGACTCAAAATCACTGACCAAAAGGGACACTGTCCCTGATTCAGAGCAGTCCGACTCCTAGAATAAGCTGAGCCAGTTTTCAGATTGCTGAGTATTAATATTTGGTAAATCTTGTGCTTTAAGATCTGGATTTGAGGGGCTAGTGAGATGGCTCAGTGGTTAAGAGCACTGGCTGCTCTTGCAGAGGACCCAGGTTCAGTTCTCAGATGGTGGCCAACAACAATCCATAACTCTAGTTCCAGGGGATCTGGCACCCTAGTCTGGCCTCCACAGATATTGCATGCATGTGGTACACATATAGGTGCAAGCAAAACACACATTTAAAAAAAAAAAGCAATAAAAAAAAGCAAAACTAGAACTGGATTTGAGAGCCAGCAAGATGACTCAGTGGGTAAAGGTACTTGCTTTTGAGAATCACAACCTAAGTTCAATCTCCAGGACCCACATGGTAGGAGAGAACCGACTTCTGCACCTTGATGTTCTTTGATATTCACAGGCACTTATATGCTACACACACATGCACAAATAAATGTAATTTCAAAAATTAAAAAACTATTTGAAATGAATTTGCTAAAGGATCTTAAAGTTAATAAGGACCAAGAGAAGGGTAGAAGGAATTTGGGTAATGCTATTAGTGCAATGCGTGAGAAGAATTCAGCAGGAAAGGCCTGGCCTCCTGGTCACTTCTTCCAACAGAGCCTAATTCAATCTTCCACTCCCATAAGGACACCTATGAGTTCAAGCCTTGATGATAAGATAGGTTGAGATTTCTAAAAGAAGATACAGTGAAGACAAGAGATTCATCCATTTTATTTAGTAGCTTGTTCTGAACAGACAAAATAAACCAAAAATACTTCACACATCTTTTTTTTTCTAGATAAATTTGAACTGGTTTAGTCCTTAATGCAATAAATGGAAAAATCATCCCTAGATATTTCTGCTTCAGTAGAGATGGCCAGTACTGAGCATGGAAGCCCAGCTACCTGTACAGCATAGGTAATGTGTTATGTTACAAATAAACTAGATTAGCAAGCAGGAGTAAAAGTCCATGGTAGCAGCCTTGGAGAGGGTGCAGTGTCCCTGGCTGATAGCAACAGTATGGCCAGTCTTCTCTCTCTGCTTACCTCAGAGGGAAATCCCTGCATAGTCTTATTATCTGACATAGGTTTCAGGAAATAGTAGGGGGCTGTAAGAATTAAGTGCAGCATAGTTTAGAGCTTTCAGAAGCCTCTCATGGAACTGCATCATCCCCTGGGGGCAGATAGTAGCCCCACTCTTCATTTTCATAGCGAGGCATCAAAGCCAAAGCATCCCATCTGCCTTCATGCCAGGATTGAGACTAGTGGCATAGACAGCACCCTCTTTAGGATTTTCATGGCCATAGAGAGGTTTGGACCTCTGTCTTGGGAGTACTGTGGACTAAACAACTCATCACTCCTGGCGTCTGCATGCTGGGTGTGAGGCTCCCACTTTGTGCCTCTCAAACTAAATTGTTCAGCTTCTTGACTTTTAGTCAGGGTGGCTAGAGCTTCAGCTTCCATCCTGGTGGAAGAAAGGGAAGTGCAGTGTACTTCAAGAAGAAAGTGGAAGAGTGCGTGAGTTTGTTTGTTTGTTTGAAAAGTTGTTTACAGTGCCAGGTTGTTGCCAGGGATAGGTAGCACATGGTATAAGTGGTAGATTTTTTCTAGATTTCCAATGAATAGGACATTTCCCCATCCTATTCTCCTAGCTCCTCTCTTGTCCTATCAGTAGTATTGGTTCATCAAACCTTGATGGACTCCTTTCTTTATGAAGTGGGGAGGTCTAGCCTAAAACCATTGGCTGTCTCACTGCTCTGCTGGAACCATAAGATAGAAAATCTGGGTATCCTACCCCACAACCATGGCCCTTGCTAAAGTCTCTGAATATTTCCTTTCTGTACATTCAATATATTTGGGTATCTGTACATCTATATACATATCTCTCTATATATATTATCTCTGTTTTTTCTCCTTAGATAAACTTTTCATATATATCATTTCCTAATTCACCAAGTTTCTGCCCACCTTTTACTTGCCAGTCATAGGTACCTTAAGGGTTTCGTTGATTTCACTAGGGCCCTTAGCCCCATCCTTTCTCATCTTCATACCCTGGGAATGCTTCCCCGTTGGCTCTTTTACCCACTGTCTGATATCTCCAACCCCACTTAAAATCTGCTTGTTACTCTCCTGACATTCCAAGTCACTACTCCTGGCTGCTTGTAAAGCTTGTCCTATAGCCTGAGAAAGGATTCCAGGTCTGGGGAGACAGGCTGTAATCTAAAGAGCCATTTAGGGTTCGGAGTTTTCCTTGCAGGACAATGGATTTGGAGAAGATGCCATATTGCATTAATAGGACAGAATGATTTTAAAGTGCAACTTAGAGCAAAGCTTGGGATTGTAAAGGAGATTCAAAGAAGGTTAAGTCATAAAATGTTCTCTTCTCACATTGTTATACAGAAGTCTGAAGAAAGTCCAGCCTTACAGTAGACAGCAGGGAAATGGGACGAGGGTATTCTTTCAGGAAGGAAGCAGCAGTGTGCAGAAGAAACCAGAACAAACTGACAGGAATAAGAAGATACACACATACAATGGTACATTTTGCCTTTGTACACTGAATGAAATCAGGTAAGTTCAATGTTGAATAAAGCTAAGAGCACAGAAGCTGGGTCTTTGCCTTCTGTTCTTTCAGATTTTCAAGTTCTAGTGCTTGCTTTTATGAGCATAAGTTTTACAGTGAGTGAAGTCTGGAGGTTCTTCATTTTAAGACATGGCTGAGGTCAAGGAGAGACCAGTAGATGAGGACTGCATAGTTGAAGTAGGTCAAGCCTCAGACTTTTCTGAGTTTCTCTGCAAAGCTTTGTGCAGAGATGCATGCATACATTCTGTATAAATGTGTAGCTTGTAACAGTTTGTCAAGCCCACTATAAATCAACAGCCTTGTGACTATACAGGAATTCTTGCCAAACTACTTTATGGGGCTTCCTTTGTACCTAAATAGAGCCTGAAATCACTTGTGGAATTTGGGTTTTGGCGCAAGACCTGGTGCCTATACTGCCCTTCCCTCACCCTGCCACAGTTCTCACCAGACAACAAGGAATGGCCTGAGTTGAATTTCTTAAGATGTCTTTTTAACTTGCCTGAAACTAGCCCCATGGCAGAAGAGAGTAGAGATGAAACTGATTTTCATCATCTTATGCCCAGCCTTGGAATGGCAGAGACCAGGTTTCTTTTGATCAGAAGATATAATTTCCTCCCCTCCCAGCATTGCCTCATAAAATAACTGGCACTCTTCAGAAGGGCAGCAGGAGATTTAACAAAATAGTGGCTGCAGCCAGAGTTCTGCTTCTGCTCAAACCCTAACAAAACACATCAATTCCCAGAGGCTCTGTACAGCAGTCAGGAAATTTAAGATATTGGTTCAGCTTTCCTGAGGAATCTATGTCTTGTGAATCCAGTTTTAGTTGATCAGTGTTAAGAAAGGGAAAACATTAATTCCCTTCCCTTTCTCCAAAGGGTTAAGTAAGGGAAGAGAGGTCTGAGATCATTAGAGAAGGAAGAAGAGAAGCCAGATACAGTGCAACCTAGACTATTTTCAAACATTTTTATGGGGCTGGGGCCCTGAACTTATTCAAGGGAATATTGGCTAAGGTCTCCCCACTCACAGAATACAGTGAAACAAATCTTCCCAGGACTGCCTGTAGGATAGATTTAGCGTTTTAGACAACAGCTACTAAATGGAATTGTTCAGAACCCAGGATGGGTGCAGGAGTGGTTATAACTTTGTTTCTCAGGTCAGTCCCAGTTCTCTAGGAGCAGAGGCAGTGAGAGAACTGGGTATCCTTAAGAGGATTCACTTGAGAACTGGAAAGGGAAAATGGGTGGTAACCAAGAACCTAGGTTAGGTCAAGAGTTACCAGCAAAATTAAATACATCATGACAAACCCTAACTCATTTCAAGGGATTGATAGAGATCCCAGGGTAAACTGATTTCAGGTTCCTGTATTTCTGAGGGCACAGACCACAAAGTGACCATCAGAGAAAGTCTTGCCTTTGGGAACTTACTAGATGGAAACAGAGATGGAGTGCCAGCCTCAAGTTACCAAACTTTCTAGCAGTGGGAGATGGGGGGAGTCTATCCTTCCAATCACATGATCCTCCTAATGTGAGTCTCTAAGCATGGCTGAGGCCTTTCAAGCCACTTCAGCCTAGTCTTCCCTTTCCTTGCCCCCATCCTGGCTTAAAAGAGTTGTGTGTGTTGGAGTCGTAGAAAGGAGACAGTGGGAGGAAATCTTAGGACTCCAGTTGGCCTAGACTATTGACCGGCCGTGGATTGAGGTGGGGAAGCAGAGGATGAGTGCTTCTAGGGCTCTCCAGTGAACCCAGATAGTATCCGTTTCCCAGGACACTGAAAGAGGAAAAGACCAGAGAGCTGGGGAGATGAGAATAGGACATCAGACATTGCTGATGCGCACACTGAGAGCACTGCCTTCCTTTTCAGCTTGCTCTCTTAATGACTCCTCCAACTTGAGCTTTTCAGGGTCTCCATAGCGTACAGTGGTATCATGGACACCACTAGGGGGAGCCACTTTCACAACTTGGTCAAAAAGGCTGAAGTCAGCTATGTATTTACCACTGGCTGACAGTGAGATGGCAGGTGTGAATTCATAGCCCCAAAGGATCTCTTCTGGCAGGTAGGAAGTACGCACCTGGCAGGTGGCACTGGTGGACTCTACTGTCCCACTTAGGATCAGCACCAGCTCAAAGTCCCCCTCGCCACTGCGAAGGGGGAGATCTTTCAAGGGGCTCGTCTCATCTACCACATGATAGAAGGTAAGGGGTAGAATGAGAAAAGGGCTGTCAGAGGCTGTGTCTACTTGGAAAGTCACATTGACCTGGTTGAGCCGAATGTTCTCACCCTCCTTGGTCTGGTGGGTCTGAAGCAGTTTGCCTGTCACCTGGCAACCAATGAGGAGACTCTTCCGCATGTTGGCAACTCGGATCATAAGGCAGGGCTTCCCATTGTGGGAGGCTACAACTGCATGTTGGCTGAAACGGATGGTCTCCGCCCTCTTCTTGGGTCTAGCAATTTTTGCCAGGAAGGTACCTGTAATGAAGATTTCCAAAATTGTGGTGAGCACCAGCTGGGCAATGAGAAGCACAATGGCTAGGGGACACTCCTCACTGATGTAGCGGAAGCCATAGCCAATGGTGGTCTGGGATTCAAGGGAGAAGAGGAAGGCTCCAGTGAGTGTGTGCACCTGTACCACACAAGGGGTGTGGTTGGCAGGGGGCCCCAGCTCCATCAGGTCCCCATGGGCCACTGCTACCAGATACCATACCACACCAAAGAGGAACCAGGTGCCTGCAAAGGTCGCAGAGAAGAGCAGAAGCTTGTAGCGCCATTGCATGTCAATGAAGGTTGTCCATAGGTCCTTGAGGTAGAGAAAGCGCTTATCAGCAATATGCTCCATTCTCACATTGCTACGGCCATCTTTAGTCAGGACTCTCCGCCGTCGGATGCCTGGGCCCATTAGGGGCCGGCTTTCTGTCTGAGTGGTCTGACTGTAATATACCTTTGCAACTGATGTCATCTGGAGGGAGCAAGAGCATAAAAGAAGTTATTGCCAAAATCCTGCCAACTAGACATCACCCAATGGGAAAGAGGAACAACATTCAATTTTTCAGATTTTTAAAATTATATTTATGTGTGCCACAGTGTGCAGGTACAGATCAGGACAACTTGTGGGAGTCAGTTCTCTCCTTCTACCATGTAGGCGTCATGGATACAACTCAGGTTGTCACCAAGTGCCTTTACTTGCAGGGTCACTCTAACCAACAGATATCTGTTAGAGCATTTGTTACATGCCAGCCACTGTGCAAGGTGCGCTGGTAAGTCAACAATGAAAGTGCCTTTTGTCAAGAACTCACAGTTTAAGAAGATATGTATTAAGTAAACAAATATTTGCAACACATTATAATGTTTGTAATTTTTGGAAGGGAGAAGCAGAGAAGAAAGAGAAGTTCATAGTCTCTGAAAGTGGATATGAGACTAAATCGGGCTCTGCTGATCCCCACTCACCACCACCTCCACCACCACACACACACACACACACACACACACACACACACAAAACCACTCTAAAACAGTACCTGAGGGTATTCTTGTGAATATCCTAAGACAAGAATGGCTATTCCTTTGAAATTGGAATTTCTAGGACAATCCTGCTTAAGATACACACATACTTTTAATTACTTTATTTTCCTAGCCCCAAGTTAATATCCATCTGCTTGAGGAAAGAGTAGATGCCCATTCTTTACCTTCCAAGATACTCCCCAAGTATGTAGTCTTTCACTCATTCATTCATTCATTCATCATCTATTCACATTACCTGAGGGAAGTTAGGTCTGGGTTAGGGTCTAGGTTGACGTTAGGAAGAGCACAGACAGGACTTGAGGAAAATATACAGAAGCTTCCTGGCAGCACTGGGACATTTCCCCAAGGACTGGCAGCAATGCCAGATTGTAGGTGGCAAACTTTTCTTGGCAGTGAAGTGAGAGTGGACTGTATATTAGCAGCTATGTCTGCACAGGCTCAAATTCAAGATTGCTATTTGTCCTGACAGTAGAAAGTGGGACAAGGGACTGAAATGGGAGGCAGTTCACTCAATACAAGATGCCTGGCACCCCTACCCAAAAAGTAACTTTGTACTTTTCCAGTAGAGAATTTTTTAATCACTTGAGCCCTGAGACACTGGGTCTAACACCTAGATCTCTTGAGAAGGATCGCAGTGATTTGGGGGACATTGGGCTTTTTTGGAGATCAGTGCAGCCAGTTAACATTCTCCACTCTGTAAGTGGGAACTGTTGCATTTTGTCATTGCTCTTTATCATTCTTCCCTATTCTCTCTGTCACTTGCCCCTGGAAAATTCTAAGTTATATGAGTCCATCCATATATTCCTATCCAGGTAGGCACTGAATTGGAGATTACTAATGGATAACATAAAATGTTCAAAGGCAGCCATCCTGGCCATTTTACCAGCCAGGAAGCCATTTGGAACTTTTATCCATGTAAGACGCTACTCATCCAGACTCCAGTGCTTTTCACTGCCCAATACCCTTGATTCCTTTGGAGCTAAAAAGAAACTCTATAATTCTAAAGAGTTCTTATTTAGAGTTTAATAAAGCCCTGTTTGGTACTCAGAAGTACTAATAACAACCACCACCTACCACAGTGCCTATGTGTATATATCATTGTAAAGTCTTCACATGTTTGATCCTTAAGTTCTTGAGGATGTAAAACCTCTATATGAGATTTTGATGACAGAGAACAAATTTTACAGTTAGAGATGAGTGAATATAATTTTAATTTTCAAAAAACAAAAAATATATTTCACAAATTAGGCAAACAAGTGATACTGATCTTAGACAAGATTCTCAAATACAATGCTAAGATTATAAGTAGCTGGCAGAACAAGAGAAAGGAAGTCATCAGGAAGACAGTATGGGTTTGCTAAGAACAAAGCATATCAAAATAACTTAATTGCCTTCTATGGTAAGACTACTAAATTGGCAAACCAACAAAACATAATAGATAAAGTGTACCTAAGCTTCAGGGTTTTTGACAAAATCTATCCTTATGTCCTTGGAGCTAAGATAGAGAAAAATGAACAAAAAGGTAATATAATTAGGTGGTTTTAAAACTTCAGTAGGACTGGTGAGTAGACCCTGATACCTGGAATTGATTTTCTGTTGATATACTAGAGAGGTTTTTCTTTGGTCTTGGCTCTGTTCAATGTTCTTAACACTAATTTCATTCAAAACTAGAGAACACTATGGCCATAAATTATGTGAATGACACAAACCTGGGACAGGTTATAAATGTAAGGACTAGGCAGAATTGGGATCTAAAAAAAATAATTCAAATTTAACAAAAAGGATAAACGTTGGATTATGCACTTGGGTCCAGCAAGTCCAAGAGCAGGAAGATGTGATTTAGTAAGCAGTATCATTAGAAGAAGAGGAGGAAGAGGAAGAGAAGGAGGAAACATTTCAGCAAAGAACCCGATATTCATGTATTTTGGTTGCCAAAAGGCAATACAATCTTAAGCTGCTTTCATTGAATGAAAGTCTGTACTTCTGCTCTGCTCACCTCTTTCTATATCTTCAGTATTCCACCTCGAGTAGCAGCCAAGGTATGAGAAAATTCAGGGCCAGATCACATGGGAAATGGTTGAAGAAAATGGAGGGATTTGGTCAAAAGAAGAGACAACCTAGGGGCTGAAGAGATGGCTTAGCAGTTAAGAGCACTGGCTGTTCTTGCAGAGGCTCCAGGGTCGATTCCAGCATCCACATGATAGCTTACAACAGTCTGTAACTCCAATTTCAGGGGACTCCAATGCCCTCTCTGACCTCCATGGGCACTGCATGACACAGGTGCACTTACATACATGCAGGCAATACACTCATACACATGAAATAATAGTTTTTTTTTTTTTAAAAAAAGAGACAACCTGAAAGATAGAACAGAGGTGTACAAATATTTATCTTGAAGGAGTGTCCCATGAATAAAGGTTCGGACTAGTTCTTTGAGTGCCAAGAACCAGGACTAATAAATTCAAACTACAAAGAGTTTGAAGACTACAAACTGATACTTCAAAGGACACTGTACAATCAGGATAGTCTAGTATAAGGAGTCCTTGGAAATGCAGAGAATTCCTTGACCCTCAAGTGTTCAAGGATAGGTTATACAGCATTTTCAGGGATCCTCTAGAGGAAATGAAAGCCCTGTGTGGATGTTGAAAGATTATCTCTAAGCTTCCAACACAGCTATGTAAGTATCAGGATGCCTGCCTCCTCCTCTGTACTTTTTTTGTTTTGTTTTGTTTTGTTTTGTTTTGTTTTGTTTTGTTTTGGAGACAGTGTCTCACTGTGTAGCTTATTATAGAGACCAGGCTGGCCTCAAACTCAGAAAGATCTGCCTGCCTCTGCCTCTCCAGTGCTATGATTAGAGGCATGTGCCAACCATGCCTGGCCTATCCCTGAGCCCATTCAACATATCAGGGAGAAGAAAGCCTCTTTTTAAAAAATAGAATTTACTTTTATTGAGAGAGAGAGAGAGAGAGAGAGAGAGAGAGAGAGAGTCAGAGGATGACTTGTGGGTCCTAGGGATTTAACTCAAATCATCAGGTGGGTACTTTTACCCACTGAGCTTTCTCACCAACCCAATAGAAGCTCTTAAAAATCTTGTTTATCTGAGACTGGAGAGATAGCTCAAAGGTTAAGCGTGTTGGTTGCTCTTGCAGAGGACCCAGGTTTCCAACACCCACATGGTGGCTAACAATCATGTATAACTCCAGTTCCAAAGGATCCAACACCCTCTTAGACCTCCACAGGCATTGTACAACATGGATGTACTTACATACATGCAGGCAATATACTCATACACATAAAATTAAAATATTGTTTATCATTCTCAAAATAATAGCCTATGCTTATCACTTTATAAAATACGTAATTTGATCCTCACACTATGAGAGCTAGGAAAGACTTTATTAGAATCTAAGGAGCAGAGAAAATTACTCCAAGTAAATTAGTAGTGGAACAGGAAGCCAAACCTGGGTCTTTTGTTTCTGGTCTAGAACTGGTGATAAAACCTGTACTGAGAATGGTAGTAGCTAAGACAGAGCCTGGAGCTCCAGAGCCCAGTGTTAAGGCCATAGACTCAGGACCTAGAGATTTTGGCTACTGGCTAGCGTCTTTGTTGCCTCTAACTGTTGTGTTTGCCGCCTCCAACTGTTGTGTCTGCCGTTGCCAGCCCTTATATCTGCCACCTCCAGCTGTGATCTGAAGTTCCCAGCTGTTGTGCCACCTCCCACAGTCAGGCCACTTTGTTCTCAGGGGTGGCCAGAGTCAAAAACAGATAAACAATCAGCACACTCCACCCCCAGGCTGGCTAGGCCTCTGGGGAAGGAAGCCAACCAAAGTTCTGGAAGTGGTTTGTTGCTGCCCCACCCCAAAACACACATTCTTCTTCCTCTAGAGGGTGCAGTTTCTCCAAAACAGTCCCAGCCATGCACTAGGAATGGCATTCTAAAGACTAGCCTGAATAGTGAAAGAGACAAACAGGGCTAGGCATGCTTTTCTTCTCCAAGAAATAAGCTAACAATTTCTTCCTTAAAGCAAAAACCAACCCTAACTACATCAATGTCTAGCATGTTCCTTCACCATACCTGTCTTCTGTTTCACACTGACTCCTCCTCAAGCTGGGTTTCCTTACTTACAAGCTCTTTTATTTTACCTGACAGTCACTCATGCTCCAGAGTGAATGGATTTATCAAAGCCTTTCTCAAGTAGAGTCAAGACACAGTGCTTCTGAATAAAATTGGCCAAGGTCCCTTAATGTTTTTAGGATAAACTGCAAGCACTTAACACAGCATTCAGGGTCCTCTATGATTTTAGTCTCTACTCTCAACAGTGTTCAGCACACCCTTAGACTTTAACTACAAAGAACATCACTGTCTGATTCTTTCTACCTCTGGATCTGCTTTTGCACTGCCCATCTAAATGACTGCCTGATGCCCTCCTGCTGACTTTTCAAAGCCTGGCTCGAGTGTGAGTGATGCACTTGGAAGCTTTCCTCACAAAGAAACAGTTCATCTTCTCTATGCCCGCTCCTGCCTTACTCCAACATGGGTTTTCTAAGCATGTTCTTGTACATTTCCATTTTTTAACACTATAATGCTTTCAAATGTTTGCCATCTGTGATCTCTTAATTTAAGGCCACGAACTATGCTTACATCTGTTTTCCCAGAACCAAGTACAGTTTTTTAAGACTAGGGAAGAGATAATTTAAAGCCTGGTCTGCACAGGCAAAGGTTGAATGGAGTTGCCCCCTTGATGCTTCTCACCGGAAATAACTTGGTGGAGACCTTCAGGAGGAGCCATGGCACAGAAGCAGGGGTCCCAAGTTCACACAGGCTTCACTAATGCTGTAGAGGTTTGCAAATCTTTTCAGAAGGTAGAGGAAAGGCAGCTCAGAGAGATGAGTGGCAACTCTTGTCTAGGTCAGCTGATCTTTCGCAGAAGCAAGGTGAAAAAGTGAGTCTTTTAAGGTGCTGCAGATCAGGGCTGGAAAGAAAGTTCAGTTGGCAGAGGGCTTGTCTAGCATGCATGAGACCCTGACTTTAATTCTCTGCTCTCCAAACAGCCAAGAATGGTGGCACACATGTATACCAGTGCTCAGGAGACTGAGACAAGAGGATCAGAGAGGCAAGGTCATCCTTCACCACATAGCAAGTTCAAGGCCAGCTTGGGCTACATAAGACCCTGCCTTAAAAAGGTTAAGTTTTTACAGAGTACTAAAGTTGATTATGCTTAATTAAGTGGCTATGAAGTATGCTTTAATTCCCCACAATTCCCCACAGATAGAAGTGAAGGGAGACTATGTACCATCTCCTGAAACTTACCAGCTTTAGCTGTTTTCTCTAGAAAAAGCAACTCAATGGAAAGGAGCTTTGGTATGTGAATACTAAATACATTATTTCCAAATGTAGGTGACTTCCCACCTGCTGTCCTCTCTTTTTACCTAAATCATTAAAAGTACCATTTTTGCAGCTACTCACACCCAAGGTCCTAGAATCATTTCAAGTTTCCCTCCCTCCTCAGTTCACCATCTAATGTTCTGTGTGGTGGGTGTAGTCCTAGAGTGTTCTCCATTTCAGTATCCTCCTTTAGGACCTTAGTGCCTTTTGACTAAATCAAGCCTCTTCTCATCGCCCATGTCCATTTTTTTCTGTACTCAAATCTACCCTACATTGCTACCAGATTACTCTTCCTCAATTACACTTCCGATTGTGAATCAATGAACATTGATCTGGTATTTTACAAAGCACTTGCACATTTCACTCTCATGACATTCTTAGGAGATAGTAAAATCATACTCCTTAGGCTAGGGATAGCTCCATGGTAAAGTGCTTGCCCAAAGACCTGGGTTTAATCCCAAACACTGGGAAAAAAATCATAGTCCTTATTTTATGAGTGAGGAAACAAGCTCAGCAATTTAAGGTAATTCTGTAAATCACGGAACTGGACTCATGATCAGGTCCTCTGACTCCAAACACATCCACTTTTCATCATACTGTAAACTATCCCAGTGCCTTTCCAAGCTCAAAAAAATGTTATATACCAAAGAAAGACCAAACTCTGTGTGGTACCTGAGAAGCTATGTGATCTGCTCCTACACCACCTTCCCAGCCTTACTTCCTACCACCCCGCTCCGATGGCACATTGAGACAAACAAATGGCCTGGTTGCTTCCTGCTGAACTCACAGTCTTCCCTGCCTTCACATAGCCTGTCTTCCAGGTCCCTGAACCTGGTTCAGATAACTCCTGTTCATAAACCTTCCCTGACACTCACAGCCTTTTTCAGTTTCCATGTATGTGTATCTATTGAATGAACAGAAGTTATTGAAAGAAGAGAGTGGGCCTAATATATCTTGATAACTTAAATTTTATGATATAGATGTGAAGTATCCCCCACCCCCAAAAAAACTCATGTACTAAAGGCCTAGGTCCTCAGGCCTTCTGAGAAGTAAGTGATTGGCTCATGAGAGCTCTAAGTCATCGATGGATTAGTAACCCATTGATGGGTCCCTAACTGAACTGGCCATTAGGAGATGGGGCCTGGTTGGAAGAAGCAGGTCACTGGGGGCATGACCTTGAAGAGAATATCTTGTCTCCCAAACCGCCCTCTCTACTTCCTGAAGTGAGCAGTTTTCCTCTACCACACCCTTCTACCTCACAACAGGCCTAAAAGCAGGTAGCCACTGACTGAAACATTTCAAACTATACCTCAAGTTAAACTTTCCTTCCTCTAAGTGTTTTTCTCAGGCATTTTTTCACAGCAACACAAAGCTGACTAACATAGCTAAGATTAGCACAATATATGACACCTAGTAAGCACTCAGGAGGTACTTTATGAGTGAATTAATGAATAGGAGACACGACCCTTTCTAGCCATAGATGTCAATCTAAGAAAACGAGAAGAGACCCCCCTCCCCCACCATTGTCACAGCACAGCTGGGGACACATGGAAGTGCTTGTTCTAGGTAGAGCGAATGGACTTCACTCTGGCCTGGGGACTTTGAGTCTTTTTCATTCTCTCTTCTTGTGTCTTCTTTTGACTTTTCTTGTAATGCTTCTTTTCTTTTTCCTTATATACATGGAAACCCCATAAAACTAATTAGAATCATTAACAGATAATGTGAACAAAGACAATGCTTCTATCTGTAATGATGTTGCCCACCATATACAGTATAAGTTTTGTTGGCATGCATTTATATAATAAACTTTTTTTAGTATCTCTTGAGTACCAGATTCTAAATAAGGCACCAGAATTATGGAGATGAATCAAATGTAATTTTATTTCCTTGAAGACCTTAGAGCTTAATAAGGGACTCAATCATTGAACAGGCCAGAATCAGTGAAGTACAGGAAGGTATGTGTAGAAGGAAAAGTGACATCTAGCACAAGGGATGAGGTTGGGAAGTAACTAATATCAAGCATTTATTGTGTGGTAGGAATAGGACTATGTTGTATATATTTTTCAATGTTAACTAATACAATTTCCAAACTACCCTATAAAACTGTTATTATCACCATTCAGGCCAAGAAACATAAGGAAGAATCAGGAATTGAACTTTTCCTACTATACCTGGGGGTCTCATTTAGAGAAGGCTACAAAGAGAAAGGTGTCTTTGGGCCTAGGCCTTCAGGCAAAATGTGAACTTGTAGAAATAGGGTTTTACAGAAAGAATCAAAAGAAAGCACTTCCAATGAAAGAAGCTTAGTAGCAATACATACACATAACATTAGGAAAGTCAGAGACAGAGAATAAGAAGCCATTCATTTTTCAGTGCTGAGAGCACAGGAAAGAGAGTGATAAATGCTGGTGCTGGGCTGGCTTTCTGTTTCCTGACAGTGGGTATAATGTGACTTCATATGCCCAGTGTTATGCCTTCCTGCCATGATGGATTGTATCCTTTCTCAAACTAAAAGAATAAACCTTTCTCCCCTTAAGTTGCTGCTTGTCAAGTATTTGGTCACAGCAACTAAGTAAGAAACTAATACAAGCCATCAGGCAGAATCTGAGGGCAGGCTATCTTCAACATTTTAGATAACTGAGCTAGACATGTGTTTATACATAGCATTCTGAAGATGAAGTGAGAGAGTCAGGCACAAAGATGTGATAGAATATGTGAACTGAATTCAGTGGTCATGGCTGCAGATTCCTGGTAGTCATTCCCCAGTCTACTCATCACTGTAAACTATGAAAGTCTTGCCAGAACACTGCTCAGTCTTGACCAAACTTTGGCCTGGTTTGCACTTGCACGAGGCCTTGTCCTTATAGGTGACTCAAGCACATCCAGCTCAGGAAAAGCTCAGGACTGTTCTTCCAGAGGACCAGAGTTCTATCCCCAGCACCGAGGTTAGGTAGCTCACAAGCACCTGTAACTCCAGATCCAGGGAATACAGCACCTCTGGATACCAGAGACATCCGCATGCATGTACACATACCTGTGTAGACACACAATTTTTAAAAATGTTTAAAAAGGAAATCAGTGTTGTTCAAATTACAAAATATGTTTTGATAGAATATGTGAACTGAAGAAGAGCCACAAGCCTCATTAGGGAAAGCCATAAATCCCTTAAAGTGTCTAGCTGCCCTAAATTAGCAGCCTGGCCTTGCTCAAGCCTTATCAACTGATCACTCCCTGGACTGAGACACTGTTTGTGGAGCCCACCTAACTCCTCTAGTGCTATAGATAACTCACCTACCTGAGAAAAGAAACCCTCAAAGACACCAGACCCTGGCACAGAGTTAACTCTTGCAGCTGTGCAGCAGAGTTCCTATAGAAGACAAGACTGCTCCCTGTAGATAATCATTCATTCCTCAAGGAAAAGAGCTGACAGCCCTTTGCTGGGCTTCCTGAATCCAGGGAGCACATTCTTTGCCTGTTTCAGGTCTGGCTGTGACTCTTATTTCTAAACTTTATACTCCTTCCTTTTTCCTCCCTCCTCAATCTAACAGGATGGGTAAGACTCTGCCTGGGAATCAAGGGCAGCACTGCCAGGTGGACAAATACACTCTACTGAGAAGCAGGAAACCTAAGTCCAGTCTCAATTCTGTCACAGACTGTGAACTTGGACAAGTTCCTAGCCCCCTAGGCCTTCATACCTTTCACTGTGGAAGAAGGAAATTGTCTGGGACCCTCACTGCTCCAACGATAGCACACTCCTATCTCTGTTCCAGGGGACACTCAGAGGCATAGAATTCACTCTGGAATATGCTCCATAGATATCAATTTTAAAGATTTTAAAGGAAAATATATTTTATATTGCACAAGTGATGTATGCTAGAATGGAATGAAACATTTACATTATTTAAGACAAAAGCAGATCTCTAAAATGTCCAGTCTGTAGCACTATGGCTCCTGTGTGGAAAAGTTCCTGTCCTCTGCCATTCAGAATACACTGACTGCTAGGTCAGTTTGGTGGTTCAGTGCTAGAAGAAGGCTAAGGCCACTTCCTGCTTAAAATTCCCCATCTAGCAGGGTATAGTGGCACAGACTGTTACCCTAGCACTCCAGAGGCTGAGGCAGGAGGATGATGAGTTCAAGGCCAACCTCAGTCACAACAGAGGGAACCTATCTCAAAAACAAACAAACAAAACAAAAACCTCCTCCTTCAGTCAATCTGGTGTGATCCTATTCCTCCCTCTGAAGAGAGGAAATGGCTACTCAGCCTCCTCTCACCAACCATATCATTTCTTTTTTGAATAGCAAATCCCACTTAAATAGTGAGCTTAGAAGCCTCCTGCCTTGGGTCTGAAAAGAAGCATTTCAGGGCTTCCAAGTGTTCTTAGTGAAAGCGAGAGGAAGAGACGAGAAAGGAGAGGGGCAGAAGAGGAAGGGCAGGAAGAAAAGCTCTGAGGTTACGTAAGCCTGCAAGGTTAGAAGAACGGAGTTGGGTTTGGGGTTCTTTTAAAACTTAACGTCTTTATTCATCAATCTTCTGTCCTTCCCCCAAAGAAAATAAGCAAATAGAAATGGAGCCAGATGCACACAAAT